TGAAGAACGGTCTCCATGCGTCGTTGCCAAATAGCCGAAATATTCGCAGCACCATAAACAGCTCTCGTGGGGCAAATGAGTCCATGCGTTGCAGTATTGAGTGTGAGCACATGACGGAAGTCACTGTCGATCGGTAGATGGGTGTAGGCGTCGGTCAAGTCCAGATGACAAAACAAAGAGGCACCCTTCATTTTTGTTGAAAATTGTTTCGGTATTGGGTGCTCGTCGACTATCATCCTAGGATTGACGGTAGGTTTATAGTTCCCGGTGATCCTAATGTTTCAGGTTTTCTTCACCACGATGTGAGTCGGTGATGCCCATTCCGAAAAGTCCACCTTTTCGTAGAATCCTGTAGAGATTTTCTTGTCGATTTCAGCTGCATAGCGATCACGCAGAGCAAGAGGTACATCCCGAGCCTTTGCAAAAATTGGAGTTACTCCTGACTTCAAATGCACTTTTGCTGGCGGTCCAATCAGTTTACCGGGAACTTCACTGAAGATTTCTTCGTAGTTGTCCAGTAGTCCTGACAGTTGCGCCCGTTGATTTGGAGTAATTTCGGTGGATGTAACCGTGTTGACAGATGAGTCTACAGCGAACATTTGGTTCAAATTTATCTGGTCAGAAAACTGAGAAATCCACTCGCGCCAAAAGAGAGGGTCGGAATCTCCTGACACCACGTACACGTTCAGTCTGCGCGATGTTGATCCGACGGATACATGCACAGGAAGGCGACCAAGGCAGTTGATGCTGTGACCAGAGTAGCTTGAAAACTGTCTGTTTGTCGGCAGTAACGCAAATCTTGTCTTGATTCCTCTCAGCTTCGATTCCGAAATGATTCCACACGGTGCTCCAGTATCCAGCTCTATTTGAAGGTGTTGGCCATCGATTACAACGTCGATCATTTTCTTCTTGGAATGACTTTTGTCGTCAACTTGACCCAGTGTCTGTAGCACATCGTTTTCGGTAGCTGAGTTCTCCGACGACTCTACTTGATCAGTGGAAGAGTTTTGGAACTTCGACCTTCCCGATCGACACACCTTGGCGATATGGCATTTTCTATTGCACGTGTTACACCTAGCATCGCGGAAACTACATTGATTCCGCATATGTTGCCCACCACATCCGTTGCAGGAACTTGATCCACTGTACTGCTTGCTGTGAGTTTGTTTTTCATCCGATGGTCCCCGCTGGTACAACTGATGTTGCGGTGTTGATGCGTGACGACTGCCCTTTCTGGTCCTTGGTGTTTCATATCCGAGCTTGTTCGTAGCCTCAGGTTCCGTCGATGAGGTTCCCGTGTTGACTTGCCTTGCTCTGTTACGGGTTGCTTCCAGCGTGTGCGCGATGTCGTACACAGCCTTAAATGTTGCCGGATTTTTCGCGATGATTTCGTCGCACATATCCCTAGCTTCTAGCCCGTGCAAAAACTGTTCAATCAGCATCCGATCCAAGAATTCCCCGTATTCGCAGTATGCAGCGCCTTGCTTCAAACGAAGAACGAACTGGGGAACAGATTCACCCTTATTCTGTACGATGCGTCGAAATTTGATGCTCTCGACGAATTTGTTCTTGGTGCGATCAAAATGATCGGTGAGAGTGGCGCATAAATCATCGTAGCTAATCACGGGGACTCACAAGGAACTTCAATACGTTGTTGAGCTCTGCCCCCATGTTTACTCAAGCATAATTCGCGTACTGTGCTTCCGGAATGTGACTCAGCTGCAATGTCCACTTGAACTTCTTGAAGTAGTCAGCGACGGATGCTTCTTCCGTGGAGCGGAACTCTGACATGGAGAACGGGGGTACCTTCGGCGACGGAGCGGCAGCTTCTCCTGCCTGATGCGGGTTCGCTTGTTGGACGACACTTCCCATTGATGCTCTCAGAGCCTGCGCGATCATTTGGGACAGAGCCTCCATGAGCTCTGGAGTCACTTGTGCCATTTTTCCGGAGTATGAATTTTTCCGACGATCCTAACCTCACATTCGGAACGCTAAAGGTTTTTCCGAACTATCCCACTTCTGACACCAAATATAACGTATCAGTGGGTGTTTCTGTGAGGAAAGTAATAAACCGGTTCTACTAACGCGAGAATTTACTTTATTGATTGGTACTTTGAATAGAAATATAGCTTTCAACATAAAGCCATTCGAAATTGAACTCGCGGTTTTTATATTCTTCTTTTGACTGAAAAACGTAGCATACACTGATTGAAAACGGTACATGGAAAATGAAATGAACATACATAATAAGTAGTACAGTGAACAATTACATCGCAGAAAGAGGAATGTGTTATATTGTATTGAAATTATACTGGCAACACGGGATCTGACATCGGGAAATAGGGTGGGGAGAAAGATGAAGAAAAATAAACGAAGTTAAACCAAATGGTTGAGTGTTCTATTTCTTGGGAAAAGAATTAAATTCTTATCGAGTTTTTCTGGTTACAACAGTTTCCAGCACCTGCGATGGATAAATTAATCGGAAAAGGTAAAAATATGTCCCTCTTCCTATGCTTCATGGCGAACATTTCTGCCCTTATCACTCTTTTGATGGTTCCCCTATTCACCACCAGAGGCTGAAACGATCGCTTAGTTTCTTAGTTTCACACACAAGCAATCCGAAAGATCATAACCACTAAGGCACTATTCTAATTTTCCATTTTTCTCAACAAAAATATGAATGAACACCAACAGGATCCTTGTGAAAACAATACAGAATTAAATTTGTCAAGTGTAGGTCAAGTTTTTGAGCATCTCAGATGAATCAATTTATCAGGAAAAGTGAAAAAGTGTTCCCCTTTCTATGTCTAACGGCAAAAAATTCTTCTCACAACACTCTTTTTGACGTTCTCCTATTCGCCACCAGAGGCTAAATCGATCGCTTAGTTTCTATTAAAAAAGGCGTATTGATTCTTGTGAGCCTTTTTCTCCAAAAGTCCCAAAACCGTGAGGCTTGGATGAAATAATCCTACATTTTCCGAATCGAAAATGAAAATTCTGCTTTTGAAGAGCAGTGAGCGGCCGAAGATTAGAACAATTTCACCCCCTACAGCGCTTCATCGAAGCTGCCAAGCAATCACCGATATAACGTTCCTTCCACCGTCAACATGACAACCAACAATGACTCGGCAGTTTATGTACACTCGACTAGTGCATTTCAAAACCGGGATCAAACATTCCAATCAACCGTCCATGATTGTAAAAAATCATCCCGATCCGAATCGGATAGTTCACCGTAATTTCGCTCTCTATCTCTCTTCTTATCGATACTACCACAGAAAAAAAGACAGTCAGAAGGGCAAGTTCTTCGTCTCGGCTCTTTCTTGTTGTGTTCCTCCGTCGTCGTCGTCGTCACCCTATTAGCTAGTTAGCATGGATGTGCGCGGACGGACGACGATAATGATGAATGATCGATTCATCCGGCCTACTGCTGCCATCGAACGTCTGTCGTCGTCCCGGTGCCTTGTTGTGGTATTCTGAATGATCCATGATAATTTAATTTCCTCTCTTTCTCCCGCTTCAACGGGGCTCTATCTTGTAGCGATATGGTTGTATCGAATCGATATTTTCCTTTCACGCTGTCAATCATGGCATGCGGCGGATGGGTCGTCAGCGCTCGACGAACTATCATTATTCGACGTTTAGTTTCGTTCTGCGGCATTTGCATGGTGGTTATCATTAACACCTAAACGGTTCGTCAAAGGCAGGTTCAACAGTGCGCCCTTTTGGGCTGATTTGAATCGGTCAAAGAGTTCGAACCGATTCGGTGGCGAGCATAACGGCAACGGATTCGAAAGGGTTACTACGATGGTAATTAATGTTAATCATACCGAATTATGTAGAATCATGGACGTCCTATTTATGGTAATTAGCATGATGGTTCAATCATTGGGCTTATTTGGTGGAGGAGTAAATTCCCGAGAAAATGGACTGTCATCAGTTCGAGTATGGCACCCACGGGCGAGCTAATCCGATAATGCACTTGTCCCGGTTTTTTTTTTCTCTGCTCGCCCGAGACTGCCGGCGGCTGATGCCCACTCAGTTATTGCCATTTTCGTCAAATCCGATTATGAATAATTTTTGCATATTATTTCGCCAATGGAGGAAGCGAGCGAACGAACGAACGGGCGCGATCTCACGCCGTGCCTAGAGTTTATACGATCATGATTTTTGTTTCTGCCTTCGATCCACACCTCCCCCACATGAATATGGTTCTGTCCGAAAAACCGTAAAACGGGGCTGAAAATGTGGCAAATGTTTACATATGAGACTTTATGGCCGTCGTCGTCGCCATCGGTATTAATATTCAGGAGCACTTATTGGGAATGTCCGATTGCACAGTTCAGTGGAACATCGTGTACTGGAGGTGAACTCCCGTTGTAAAGAGTTGGCGATTCTGTTGCTTTTTCGTGTGCCGAATTTGCATAAATTCGTGGAATACAAAAGCGATCTGCCCCTGCTGCATTTGGTTGTAATGTGCACGCAAACATTCCCGCGGCTGAGCAGCAGATGCAGATTTTGTTTTCGAATGCATTTCGAACAGGGTGAACGAAAAATAGTTTCGCAGGGTTGCATGCATTGGGTAAGTGCCATCGCCATTGCAACTTTTAACTCTGTGGAGGCTCAACTAAATACGCCTGTTTCACCTCCACAGATATCCGAAAATCGGGGCTACTTTCAAGACACACCCGAATTCATCCCTGCGCACCAATTGACTCATCACGAGATCCAACTGGAATGATTCCCCCTCCGGATTTGATATACCCTTAGCGTCGTGGTCGGTGCCCAACATTGGAGGTTCCGAGAGGTTCACCCAAGACAGATGGAGTCAGCCAAACGGACAGATAGACAGACAGACAGACAGACGGTAGCCTTCTCGGTTGGATTCCATGGAAAAAGAGACATTTAGCTTGGCTTAGGGACGCAAAAGGGCAAACCGAACCGAAAGATAGTTCACCCGTGTGATGTTCGTTCGTCTTCGTTCTTCTGATCTTACTTACCTTAGTCAGCGAGGCACTGAAACCAGCTTGACATGATCCTTGCCGGTGATAACCCCAGTACACTGGAACGAGACGGAAACAGAAGAAGGAGAAAAGATGGTTAAATTAAAACATATGTTTGAAAAAATCTTGCCTGTCTCTATTTGACTTTGAAGAGGTGAATTTAATGACGACGACGACGACTTCCGAACGCCGGATGTTTATGGATTTCGGTGGAAAAGAGGAAATGTGTTCCAAGTTTTCGGCAGATTAAAACATGTTCTTTAGGAAATTGCTCGCTCCCGCTTTGTTTCGCGGATCCGAGCCGGAGCGAAACAGCTGAATAAACGTTTAAGCCGAGCGGAGAGCTTCTTCTTTTCACACATCGACGTTGGATACGACGCCGTTAAACTCATTATCTCGTAAAAGAAAGTCGAATGATAATCCCATTTAAATCCAGTCAGGCAGTCAAGTCAGCTAGGGCAGTGCAATTGGTGATGCAATTCTTCTTTTAAAGGCGCGATGATTGTAGACACAAGAATCGTCGTAGGATTTTATTACGGGCTTGGGATGTTGGGGTCGTTAAAAGTGGTTCGTTAAAGTGCCTGGATGACCCGTTGGTGGTTGCTGGCAGTGCAGTGGCAGTTAGACGGGATGTGGTGTGGATGTAGAGTAATTGAAAGATATGTTCTAGTCTGCATTTGATTGAGCCAGTTAAGATGTTTATCGGAACGGTGCTTCTACTGTTTGAGGAATGCTGATCTATTTTGAGATGATTTACAATCCAAAAAGTTTGCCGTAAGAAAGTTAACGAGATTTCTCTGAATAGATTCGAGTTCGAAATCCCATGAAGCTGACTCGATATTTTGGAGGACATTTGTGAGCCGTGTACTGGCTTTGGCAGATCCTGAGGTGTAGTTCCAAAATTTCTGTGGAGCTGCTCCCAATTTCCCTGAAATATTGTGGAGTTGCCTAACAAGTCCTAATTCAATGCCATTGTCTCACAAGCTCTGTGGAGTACCCAAGAACCAACAAGCCCAATAATCGCTAATGTTACAGTGTAAGACTCCAATCTTTATATCAGTCTTATATTCCAAAAAAATACTGGATTACACTCAATATAATTCTGGTCACTTCCCCGCGGGAACGCAGAACATGTCCGGATGTGGCCAATGTAGCCAATATGGCCCTAGACACTCAATAAGCCTACCAATCTTCTTATTTTTGAATTCTCATGTGATTTGAGGTGTCGCATGATGGGTTTTAAATCAAGTCAGATTCTGGCCACTTCCCCGGGGGAACGCAGAACATGTCCGGATGTGACAAATGTGGCCCCAGACACTCAATAAGCCTACCAATCTGCTTATTTTTGAATTCTCATGTGATTTGAGGTGTTGCATGATGGGTTTTAAATCAAGTCAGATTCTGGTCACTTTCCCGGGGAAACCCGGAACATGTCCGGGTGTGGCCAATGAGGTCATATATACTCAATAAGACCACAAATGATCCTAGTTTGGAGTTCTCATGCGATTTAATGTGTCACATGATGAGTTTTAAATCAAATGAGATTATGGCTACTTCCCCGGCAAAACCCGGAACATGTCCAGGTGTGGTCAATGTGGTACTGTACACTCAATAAGACTACCATGTCCGACTGTGGTCAATCTGATCCTGAAGACTCAATAAGACTACCAATGATCTTATTTTTGAATTCTCATGTGAATGCAGGTGTCGCATGATGGGGCTTAAACCAAGTCAGATTTTGGCCACATGCCCGAGTTAACCCGGAACACGTGCGCATGTGGCCATTGTGGTCCTAGACAGTCAACAAGACTACCAATAATCTTATTTTTGAATTCTCATGTGATTTGAGGTGTCGCATGATGGGTTTTTAGTTCATGTCAGATTTTGGCCACATGCCCGGGTTAACCCGGAACACATCCGGGTGTGGCCAATGTAATCCTGAAGACGGAATAAGATTACCAATGATCTTATTTTGAATTCTCATGTGATTTGAGGTGTCACATGATGGGTTTTAAATCAAGTCACATTCTGATCACTTCCCCGGGGAAACCCGGAACACGACCGGATGTGGCCAATGTAATTTTAGAGACTGAATAAGATTTTCAATGATATAATTTTTGAATTCTTTTGCGATTTTATGTGTCACATGATGGGTTTTAAATCAAGTAAAATTCTGACCACTTCCCCGGGGAACCAAGAACACGTGCGGGTGTGGCCATTGTGGTCCTAGACACTCAATAAGACAACCAATGACCTTATTTTATGATTCTCATGTGATTTGAGGTGTCGCATGATGGGTTTTTAGTTCAAGTCAGATTTTGACCACTTCCCTGGGGAAACCCGGAACACGTCCGGGTGTGGCCAATGTAATCCTGGAGACTGAATAAGATTACCAATTATCTTATTTTGAATTCTCATGTGATTTGAGGTGTCGCATGATGGGATTAATGCCAAGTCAGATGCGGGCCACTTCCCCGGGGGAACCCGGAATATGTCCGGGTGTGGTAATTGTGGTCCTAGACAGTCAATAAGACTACCAATGATCCTATTTTTGAATTCTCATGTGATTTGAGGTGTCGCATGATGGGTTTTAGTTCAAGTCAGATTCTGGCTACTTCCCCGGGGAACCCGGAACATGTGTGGCCAATGAAGTTTTGAGTTAATAAATGATCATATTTTTGAATTATCATGTGATTTAATGTGGGCCAGGATGTGTTTTACATCAAGTCACACTCTGGTCACTTCCCCGGAGGAACCCGGAACATGTCCGGGTGTGGCCAATGTAATCCAGGAGACTGAATAAGATTTTCAATGATCCTATTTTAGAATTCTCATGCGATTTTATGTGTTGCATGATGGGTTTTAAATCAAGTCAGATTCTGGCCACTTCCCAGGGGAACCCGGAACATGTTCGGGTGTGGCCATTGTGGTCCTAGATACTCGATAAGACTTCCAATGATCCTATTTTTGAATTATCTTGTGATTTGAGGTATCGCATGTTGGGTTCTAAATCACGTGAGATTCTGGCCACTTCCCCGGGGGTACCCGGAACATTTCTAGGTGTGGCCAATGTCGTCCTAGACACTCAATAAGACTACCAATGATCCTATTTTTGAATTCTCATGTGATTTGAGGTGTCGCATGATGGGTTTTAGTTCAAGTCAGATTCTGGCTACTTCCCCGGGGGAACCCGGAACATGTCGATGTGTGGCCAATGAAGTTTTGAGTTAATCAATGATCAAATTTTTTTAATTATCATGTGATTTAATGTGCCCCAGGATGTGTTTTATATCAAGTCACGCTCTGGTCACTTCCCCGGAGGAACCCGGAACATGTCCGGGTGTGGCCAATGTGATCCAGAAGACTCAATAAGATTGCCATTGATATTAGTTTTGAATTCTCATGTGATTTGAGGTGTCGCATGATGGGTTTTAAATCATGTTACATTCTGATGACTTCCCTGGGGGAACCGGGAACATGTCCGGGTGTGGCCAATGTAATCCAGGAGACTGAATAAGATTTTCAATGATCCTATTTTAGAATTCTCATGCGATTTTATGTGTTGCATGATGGGTTTTAAATCAAGTCAGATTCTGGCCACTTCCCCGGGGAACCCGGAACATGTTAGGGTGTGGCCATTGTGGTCCTAGACACTCAATAAGACTACCAATGATCCTATTTTTGAATTCTCATGTGATTTGAGGTGTCGCATGATGGGTTTTAGTTCAAGTCAGATTCTGGCCACTTCCCCGGGGGAACCCACATGTCGATGTGTGGCCAATGAAGTTTTGAGTTAATAAATGATCATATTTTTGAATTATCATGTGATTTAATGTGGGCCAGGATGTGTTTTACATCATGTTACATTCTGATGACTTCCCTGGGGGAACCCGGAACATGTCCGGGTGTGGCCAATGTAATCCAGGAGACTGAATAAGATTTTCAATTACCCTATTTTAGAATTCTCATGCGATTTTATGTGTTGCATGATGGGTTTTAAATCAAGTCAGATTCTGGCCACTTCCCCGGGGAACCCGGAACATGTTCGGGTGTGGCCATTGTGGTCGTAGATACTCAATAAGACTTCCAATGATCCTATTTTTGAATTATCTTGTGATTTGAGGTATCGCATGTTGGGTTTTAAATCACGTGAGATTCTGGCCACTTCCCCGGGGGTACCCGGAACATTTCTAGGTGTGGCCAATGTCGTCCTAGACACTCAATAAGACTACCAATGATCCTATTTTTGAATTCTCATGTGATTTGAGGTGTCGCATGATGGGTTTTAGTTCAAGTCAGATTCTGGCTACTTCCCCGGGGGAACCCGGAACATGTCGATGTGTGGCCAATGAAGTTTTGAGTTAATAAATGATCATATTTTTGAATTATCATGTGATTTAATGTGACCCAGGATGTGTTTTACATCAAGTCACGCTCTGGTCACTTCCCCGGAGGAACCCGGAACATGTCCCGGGTGTGGCCAATGTAATCCAGGAGACTCAATAAGATTGCTAATGATATTAGTTTTGAATACTCATGTGATTTGAGGTGTCGCATGATGGGATTTAAACCAACTCAGATTCTTGCCACTTCCCCGGGGGAAAATGTCCAGGTGTGGCTAATTTAGTGCAATATGTTGTTTTTGAATTCTTTTGCGATTTAATATGACACATGATTCTGGCCACTTGTTTAAAATTCTGGAATAATCCTGGGTAGGAATCGGGAAAAATCATGACCAGCATTCTGAAAGAAACCTCAGCAGTGTTTGGGTAGCAGATTTCTGAGATTGTTTAGTATTCAGGAAGAATTCAGAACAGTATTCTGCAAGAATCGTGAAAAGTAGTCGGAAAGAATCTTGTCTAAAATTCCGGAATGATCTTGGCTAAGATTCTGGAACAATCCTGACAAGGATTTGGGAGCTCTAGAACAATCCTGAATATAATTCGTGGAGACTCTAGATTAGAGTTCTGGAACAATTCTTAATAGGATTCGGGAGCAAAGTATTCGAAAAAAAATCAAAGATTTCGAAACTTCTTTGATGCTTAGCAAGTCTAACATA